GGTCATGGTGTCGTCGGAGGAGGATGGCTTACGTCAACGTCGCGGAATGGAGTCCTGACCAAGTATCAGAGTGGCTAAAGGGTGAGGAAGAAAAAAGGATGGAAACGTTACCATATCCTAGTGTGCCGTGGATCCCTTTCCTCCCCGAAACCCAGAAGAACAGAGAGAAGTGCGAGGGGCATTGGGTGTGGTGGTTGCGGCGGGCGTTTGTTGACATCCTGCCGCAGCACCACCCTTCCCTGCGGCGGGGATGGGTGGGCGTGCGGTGGAATTGTTACTGGTAGATGCAGTGGGTGAGTGAGGGCGGATGTGGAGGGTTTGAGGTTGTGGTGGTTGCAGCGGGTGGTGAGGGCGAGACTGTGGTTGCGGCGGCGAGGAGGTCGTGAGGTCGTGGTTTGGGGTTGTGGTGGGTGAAGTGGAGGTGGAAGGTGTGGTGGTTTGTGGTCGCTGCGGGTGAGGAGAGCGGGGTTGTGGTGGGTGAGGTGTTCATGAGATTGTGGTTGTAGCAGATGTGGAGGAAAACCAAGGAGAGCGTGAGGTTGCGTTGGATGTAATTGTGGTTGTGTTAGTTTGGTGGTTATGGACTAGATGATTGTGATGATGATGTAGATTTACCAGAGACCTGCAGTAGTTGTAGAGGGCTTTTGTGTAGATGCTGTAGGAATTGGCTTGTGATTATGGTGGTTGCGGTGGCAGTTAAGGTGATTGTGGTTTGTGGTGGAGGATCAAGGACAGTGCAGTTGATAGTGAGGCAACTGCAAAGCTAGTGTTTTTTTCTCCTGGCTATTCTTGGACAAAGAAAGACATGAAATTGCAATTGAGTTTATGGATACATTTTATTGTAGTGACAACAAGGAAGGAATTTTTTTTTATGGTAATGAATAGTGTTGGTGGTGATTAATGCGATGGTGAGTCATGCAATGACTTCAAGGGTTTTCTTGAAGATGTAATTAAGAGTTGTTTATGACAGTGAGTAGTCTAATTTGGGTTTATTATGTTTTATGTTAGATGAATGAGTTATCCAGTATGTTTTTTTAACTGTTGTTTTATTCCTACATATTTATTTTCTACTGCATTAGACTGATACTATGCCATTGTTTTAAGTTGTGTTTTGATGTGTTTTTATTTGTGTACATAAACCTATCTTGCCATCTTTGTCATTACTTGTAAAAATATTATGTATAAAGGCTTATCATAAGAGATAAAGAAATGGCTAAGTGTAAAAGAGAAGAAATATATATGTAGCTTTATTGTACAGTTCACCTTGCTTCCATAGGTTGAGATGTATTTTAAACTGAAAAATGAATTTCATTCCATTTGATGAAAGAAATGAACTATGAAATAATCCTTTTATAGTCTGTTCTGCGAACTGACACAATTTGAAGTAAAAAAAAAAAGGCCATTACTTATTCAAAAGTTATCGTCAATCTTATTCTGTGTTTGATTATAATGTTCTTTAGTGACAGATATGACTCCCATACAGCTGTCCTTTTCGATATGTTATTTTACCTGAAACAAATAATTTTAGTAATAATCTTGAAATGGACTGTTGTTGTATGTGCATTATTTAGTTACATTATTATTATTGCCAGCATATGATTTGTATATATATATTTTTTTATACCGTTGGGTTAATTTCATCCTGGAGTTACTTAATTATGTTATCTTAAGAGATCTCCATATTTTAAGAATTATATTTTTAAGAAGAAAAGGGTAAATGATAAAAGGAATGACTCATTTCACTGACGGCAAATTCTTGCACTTCTCCCCACCCAGGCTTGGATGATGTGATACTTCCATACATCCATTACTTTGTCAATAATCAAGTAGATGGAAAAAGACTTCTCCAACTGAGCCATGATGAGCTACCTTCACTCCACGTCACCAAGATCGGACACCAAGAGATCATTTTGCAAGGAGTGGAACTGCTAAGAAATATTGTACGTTCAGAATTTGCTGGGGCTTTGTTTGTATATTGCATGAATGGTGTAAATGTTTGGGTGATTACTCTGGAAACCATGAGAGTAGGATTTTAAACTTTTTAATTCATATTATGAATTATATCAGTATGATTGCACCTAACCATATTTTTTTCTTCTTTCTGAATCTATGCACAGCATTACCACTTACACCAGGAGAATGTACAGTACTTAGCTCTCCGCCTGAGTTCCAAAGCTCGCAGCATCTACAATGAGCTTCGTGCACTGTCTGCCTCATCTAGAGGGGGTGGGGGGAGTGCAGGAGAGGAGGAGGATGGGGAAGAAGAGGAGGATGGGACAGGAGGGGACCGTGCTAGTGACAAAAAGAAGCAGGAGAGGGTTTCAACGGCTGTGATTGCAGGCGTTGCTGATGTTTTGTCATCAGTCAAAGGAGTTGTGTCATGGCTCAACAGGTGAGTTTTCCCTTTTTTTTCTGTCATCGAGGTGCAGTTGAAAAACACTAGTGGGAAGAGGCTTATCATATTAGTTACTTACCATACATGAAGACTTAGTAGGTGGCAAGATCCTGTTTCTCATTTCTCAGGCAACCCTTTGAGGGTGTTGAACAGTATGATAGCCTAAAGAGCAACCTGGTGGAGCTGAGCATCAGACTGGCCACTATTGCGCAGCGTGACATGTTTGCAGAAAATCAGGCCACAGTCATCCTCCAGTCGTGCCTCAAGCTGGCAAATATTTCTGATAAGATCATACAGGTTAGTTGTACATTGTAATGTACTTTGCATGTTACTAGTTCTAACTTTTGTTCACTGATTGTGGAAAAAAGTAACTCTGTCAGATAACTACTCTGTATCATATTTTCCCCACTTCACACAAAGAAATAGTATCAGCTCTTTTGTCATTCATTTTTCTTGTTCAAAGAAATATTACCAACTTACTCCAAATATTGAATCATACTAGTGCCAAGGGTTTTCTTTGCCATATTCATCAGTTTTTGTATTCATATGTGATTGGTTTATTTTTATCCAGTACAACACCAAAGAATATAATTCCATTTCTTAACAGGAGTGCAATGATCCCCTTATCATCCAGCCAGCATCCTTGGATATTGCCACAATAAAGAAGAAAGCAGATGATGAATGGGTAAGTTGGTGCTTCCTGATTTTGTTTACTTCTAGTAATAAGTATTTCACAGGCCTAGCTGTTTGCTTTAATTTAGCAACTTGTTACATCTCATTCAGTCTTGCAAGCTGTTTTCCAAAATCATGGTACTAAAACAGTGGAAGTTAAGCTAAAATCATCAGTAGGAAGTGAGGGAGAAATAGTAAGCTTTTAAATTTTCAGACAAAAAGCAAAACACTCAAGGAAAAATCTTGGAATGTTATAAGTATATGAAATATGTATCAAGTTTTCCTCCTTGCATAATTCTAGATTCTATGCTTATGTGTTTGAATCAGTTTCACTCTCCATGGAAGCAGTGTCTTTACAGTCAGTAGGATCAATGAAGATCTGTAATATATTTGTTGATGTAAGCTCCCTGATGTTTTCCTGTGCTTCTTATCCCCCCCCCCCCAAGAACTTCTTTTTACTTCATTGTATGGAATTTTTCAGTGCCTGTACAATGTAAATTACAGGATATTATTAATCCTGGTGTTTGACAAGTAGTCACAAGGGATTTGTGGGAACAAAGACTTGCAAGGCTCCTTATTTCTCCTTCCTTTCAGGGAGTGATGCTACAGTCATCTTACCATGGGGTCCACCAGGTATCAGGGGTGCGTGCACTAAGCCCTGCACATCAGTGTGGCAAGTTGCAGGAAGGGGATGAGTTGGTGCAGGTCAGCTACCAGACAGTGGTGAGTGATGAGCAGACTGATGCAGTGAGATTTGAAGGATTTTTGTTACATACAGTATGTTTTGTTGTCTAATATATCTTACCATTGTTAGCTTTACAATATTCTTGAAAATGAAAAGAAATGTATAGAGGTGAATAAAACACTGGAAAGAAAAAAAATCACACAGACTTCTGTCCTTGTAGGTTGGCTGGGCTCCCCACAAAGTGGCAGCAATCATGCAGGAGTGTCCTGTGGAGGTGATTCTCACAGTGAAAAAGAGACCTTGTCATTCAAATACAGTGACACAGATCTACTTCAAGCCGTTCCGTCTACCTAGTAAAAAGAGGACCTACTCCCCTTGGGCAACCTCAGTCATGACATCACCCAGGGATGACCTCAAGAGCATTCCCAACCTTCAACTCCCACCGTAAGTTTTGCTTTCTTTCTGCCCTTCCTTTTTTCTTTATTTTCTTCCCCCTTTTGAGAACTTCTTTTGAACTATCAACCCGTTCACTTTATAATAAGATTTTAGGTCAGTTTGTGAGAAGTGTCAAGTGTTCATAAAGAAGTGAAAGGCATCCCATTATACATAACACTACTTTTCTAACTTATATATTTTTTATATGTGGCACTAACACACTTATCACTGCACACCGTAGACATATATTTATTACTTCATTAATACAGAAAAAAATGAATATAGATATAAATTTGTCCCCAATGGTTGAAAGAAAAAAGTTGGTCATAATATTATTTCTTCTATGAATTCAGTTCTTGCATATCACAGCATGTGTGGGCTTCAAAGATGAACATGTTTCCAAATCTTGGATTGAAAAGGCAAATTATCATGTCAAAATCAATAATATCATGTTTGACTTTACTTACCTTATAAACCTGTAGGGTTTCTGTTCTTTTTTTGTGCTTTGTTTTTTTAGTAAGAAATCTATTGCTATTGTTTTTTATCCCAATAGGTCTGTTGGCAAGTCTTTACAGCGCACAGAGTCCAAGGAGTCACGTCCGAGGTCCCTCACCCCGCCACCAGCAAACAACACTCCCCCACCACGACCTCTGTCCTCACTCAGGTTGGAAACTGTTGGTAGTTATGTCACCAGAGATAAGAACCTGAGTATCACTTAATACTTGTAGAGAAGTCTGTTTTTCAGGTCACAGTAGATTATTTATAACTCATGTTTGGATTATATTGTAGTTTTCTTTCTGTAATGCTCATAATGAATAAGGATATTGGTCCCCCTATAGCAATGATGCACGAAACACGACATCGGATAGCGAGGCAGAAGACTCTGATCTGGAGGACGACCCATTCTTCTCAGACAGTGATGTTTGTGGCTCGTCCCCCATCAGTGCGCGACTTTACCACCCCAAGCCACGGGCACCAGTCCAAAGGCGAGCAACTATTCCCGGTGCAACAACAAGACCTTCCTTCAGCTTTGATAAGGTGGATGACAGGAAATCTGTCTTTTTTGTGATGTTCTGTGTAAAATGTAATTGCTGCAGTGTTTCAATTAGTATTGATATATGGTAAGAAATTTAAATGACTCATTTTCTTTGGGTGAGCAGCTACTGCAAGATGTGAGATGGCAGCGAGGTGGCCGCAGCCCTGACGGGCCAATACCCTCTGACCCAGACCTTCGTGCAACAGCTGGGGTGGAACAGCGTGCTGCTCGCCCCCATACATGCATTGGTACTGAGAAGAAAGATAGGATGACAGGAGGTAGTGAAGTGGCTGTGGTTAAGGAGGAAGGTGCAGAGGGAGATGTAGGATCTATCAAGAATGGTGCCCTGGAAACCTTTTCTACCAGTGAAGCCAGAGAGAGCTCCAGCCAGGAACAGTCAAAGGAGACTGGAGAGGAGAAGCGTGTTGTGAATGTGATTCCTCTGCCACCAAGGAAACCCACAGGACAGGGTATCACTCCCACTGTATTGGAGCCACACTCCCAGCATGACCACGGCGGAGATGGCAAAGCAGGTGGTGGGAAGGAGGCTGTAGCTGGGACCTCCCAGTCACCAGGGCAGAAGGCCAAGCCAGCCAGCCTTTCCTCACAGCTCAAAGTGCCTGACAAGACCTTGAAAGCTGGCCAGGAACTCAAACTGGACATTTCGACTAGACAGAGGAGAGTATCAGAAGATAGGCCTAAGCTTGACAAAAGCCACAGCACACCAGCTTATGATATGGAGGAGGAGAACACTTTGCAAGGGGTAGCTTCACCTGCACTCACACCACTTGAGAAGTCTCCAGCAAACCAGGCTTCATCACCCAGATTCTTCAATACAGACTCAAAATCAGCATTTGGTAGGTTTTTGCAGTTCATTCTAGATTGTGTTATTCTCTGTTAGTGTCCACTGTGTAGTCTTTCAGGTTTCAGGTTTTGTGTCCCTGGATACTTCTTATTGTATGTTGTAGCTCAATGGTGTATGGACAGTGTAGCACCATTAAGTAAATAAGAAAATATTGTGCAGTATCTTTCTTGGATGATTTTGCTTAATGAATTGCAGGGAATAATGGTTGATTATTAAGAAACTGATCAGTTCAAAAGCATTGTGATTGAAAACATTGTTTCAAGCTGGATCTGATGATAGATATATGCAGACATGGTATCATTGATTTAGAATAATGGGCTCCTTGTTAATCAAAATGATATATTGCTTAGCAGCATTTCAATCCACTTAGAACATACTGCTCAAAATCTTCTTTGATGATCTCAGTGTTTAGATGAAATCCCTTTTTTCTTTATACTTCACTTTGTCAGATTTCTCTTGACAGTTGTTAAGAAAGGCATGAATTGAGTACTGATAATTTTCCAACTTTATAATCTTCACCTTATTTTTCTTGAGCCTTTCTCAGCAATTACCTTTGACAGTATTCATCAGTTTCACAGCCACAGCTTATGCTCTATCTAGAAGCATGATTGATTTCTCCAGCAGTTAGTGGAGGCGACACACCCCCTCGGGTTTCCCGTGATGGGCAGTCCAAGGGGCAATCTAGCCAAGCCTTGCGGGGGTCGCAGCCCAAGCCTACTACAATCATATCCTCCGCAACCACAAATATAGGTGATGGGTCCACACAACATTACAAGTCGCAGGTTATCTTCCCCATGAGTGCAGCCTCACATAGCACTGCACAATCCACCACCCATGGTGTAGGCCGTCCAGAAGGTACCAGCGGAGATGACAAGCGTGGCGGTAATGATGCTGATGGTGGTAGGAAGCCAGCCTGTGGCAGTGGTACAGGGGGAGCTGGTGGTGGTGGCGACCCTTGGAATGAAGCGAGAGGTAGTGGTAGTGCGGGTACTGGTGGAGGTGGCGGGATAGAGAGGCAGCAAGAGGTGAGGGCAGGAGCCTTGGCTAACCTGAGCCCAGCCGTTGTGCTTAGGGAGACACGGAGTAGTTCACCCTCGGTCTGGCGTCGAGGAATCTTAGTGGCAGATCAGGGTAAGAGTCAGGAATGCATGCAGAATACTAATGTCTCTCACTCTAGATGTGGATGAAGTTTGTCTCGGTATGTTACACGTAGTGCATGCTAAGAGTAAGAGAGAAATGAAAAAGTGAACATCGTAGACTTGATGTCAACTTTCTGTTTTTCCAAGACACAAAATTAATGTACACTTGATTATAGCCATAGTTTCCTTCTCATATAACATTCTTGTTTAGTGTAACCTTCCTTGCCTTTCATATAGAAGTACTTAGGTATCCTAATGTTAAGCATTACTAATGTACTTTCCCAAGCAGCTTTGAATTCATACCTTAATAACTAACCATGTTACATTTATGATGCATTATTGGATTATCATAGTGAAAACTAGGGTAGATAGAGAACTACTTTAGTATAGACATTAAAGAGAAACAGAAATTGAAAATGAGATATTTGCTTATATTTTATATTATCTTGTGGCTTGGTATCAATGCTGATATGTATGGCCTTGGCTCTGTGTGTGTGTGTGTGTGTGTGTGTGTGTGTGTGTGTGTGTGTGTGTGTGTGTGTGTGTGTGTGTGTTGTGTGTGTGTGTGTGTGTGTGTGTGTGTGTGTGTGTGTGTGTGTGTGTGTGTGTGTGTGTGTGTGTGTGTGTGTGTGTGTGCTGTGTGTCGTGCGTGTGTCTGGTGTGTCTGTGAGTGTGTGTGTCTGAGTGTTTGTGTATCTGTATGTTGCATCTCATGTGTACATTATAATGTGAACAAAAAAAACACTTCTTACATGAGAGTTGATAATAGACCCAAGTCTCAGCCAGTTTCCACCAAAAGCCCAAGTTGACTCTTGCTGCCCACTACAGGAAGTCGCCGCATCTCATGTCGAGAGCTAGGCCAGGGTGACCACCAAGGATGGCTTCTCCGCCTATCATGAAGGCTTTCTGGCTCCGCAGATCAGGCTTTCTCCTGTGATTTTCACCAAGGAAGTCGCCGCATCTCATGTCGAGAGCTAGGCCAGGGTGACCACCAAGGATGGCTTCTCCGCCGCAGAGATAATAAGGGCTTTCTCCTCCCGCACCGCTGGGAACGCCGGTGGTTCATCCTGAAGGTAGGTGCTAAGTGAGGTTATGAGATTGTATATTGAAATATTGAAAATTTACCTAAAATAATTTCTCTACTGGCTGTGTGAATCCTTGAAACCTTATCCTCCGGATGATGTGGGGTTCATGTCATGGCAGACTTGGGCATGGCACTGCATTCACATGTGCTACATGATGCCTTATATCTTATGCTTTATAAGGAATTTTCATGCCAACTGCCATATGCCCTGGCACATAGCCTAAGGGAAGGCGGGATGTGTAATGCAATTATAGGCTATTGTTTGTATTAATGGCGATATTTATGAAAGTTATTATTTGCCTACTTTGTATGGAAGACGTCATGCACCAAAATATTGCACTTTTTTTGATGTGAACATGAAATTAACCTTAATTTTAATTTATATGATCAGTTTCCTTGTAGACATTAATCACATTGTCTTTTGGCATTCTATCAGTGTAAATGCCTTGAAGTATGACACATAAGGCAAGTATTGAAACTGTAGGAGTAGCAGCCCAGTATATATCTTATTACAATTTTTTGATTTGTAAAAATAAGATTTACAACAAGAGAAAATCCTTTTTTACACAGAGTGTAACACACTTTGTTTATGGTAATGTACATAATCAGACTACTATGGGTTTGATCCAGCAATCAAGTGAATATCATGCATCTCTGAATATTTACAAATGTTAAAATAATGTTTTGCATTCAAGTGTTACAATAAAAATATATATCACTTTGTTGGTGTGATGTGGCAAGTGCTACATACTAGCCACATAGAAGAAGGCCCCTGAGGCAAACCAAGTCGGCTGTGTTTACTGGCCAGGATGAAGGCCAAGGGAACCCCAAATTCTCCTGGAGGCACTGGGTTGATACTTCCATTGCTTACTAATGGAACTTAATCTCTTGCACACAGAAAAACTACCTTTATGGCTACCGTGACAGGGAAGCTGTTAGAGCTGACTCCCTCATCTACCTCCCTGGTTTTCATGTGTGTCCTGCACCTGATGTCAAGTCCAAGAAACTTGCTTTCAAGATCTATCACTCAAGTGGGTTTTTTATTTGTTTGTTGGTTTTTTGTTTTATGATTTACCTTTAAGAAGAATGTTTACTCAACACTGAAAGTTGTGAAGTCATTTGGAGAATGTTAATTTTTTTCCCTCTTATTTCATTTAGAACTTTCATTGGTTTATTGCAACATGTAAATAAAAGGAATATGTGGTATCATTACAACCTTAGCTGACCATTTTTCATGTTCTGGGAATATCATGCTGATTTTATGAGAATTAATGTTATTACCTAGTGTGATTATAAGGCACTGAGAACCATCTTGTTTTTTGTGCCACTGCTTACCACTTTGGATGTCTGACAGGTGGAGCAACATTCTACTTTGCCTGTGAAACAGCAGAAGAACGCAGCCGCTGGATGAGCCAGATGGGGCTATCGGCCATTTCCTCAGGGTCTCAAGGCCGCCATCAGCACCATGCTCACCAGCCGAATGGTATGTATTTTTGCAGCATGGGCATGCGATTTCAATCCAGTTTATTTGAGTTTAAGAGGGTCGTATGAAATTATAAATTGTAGCTCAGGGATTAGGATGAGGAGTATCTAAAAAGAATGATGTTTCTAGATTATTGAGATAAGGCTTGATACAGTAATTGATGTTGGTTGGTTTGGTGGTGCAACTACAAGATCATGATTGATTCACAATTTTTCAATGAACATGATGTTGTAATGATATATTTTGATGCTAGCATAAAAGTTCTTTTTATGTATGGAAAGCGTATATTTGTTATTCCTATATTATTGTGTTCTGGTAGGTAGTGATGGAAGTAGTGCACATATATTTTTGAAATATGATTATAAAAAGGGTTCGAAAGGGACAGGGTTAAGCTCACGTTGAAAGGAGAGCATCTAGCTCATAAATGAGGACAATTTTTTATAATATATTATGCATACCCTATCTCCGTTTGCATTGCAGCAGGTGATGATGTATATTATAGTGAGACAGATGAAGAAATGGAAGAGCGAGCTTCCCCTTCACGGCGGTCCCCACAGTCACCACAGTCGAGGTAAATCTCACCATCGTCATTGATGCAGATTAATCAGAGCTCTTGCTGTGCTCCTCTTTTTCCCTTGCCCTCTTGTTCTGGTTGTACTAACTTTCTAAAGATGCTTAACGGAAGCAATGAAAATCCGAGGGATATGGTGGAAAGAGGTGGTTATCGTTTCTTTGATTAACATTATGACTTTGCAGTTTGTGATTGGTATGTGATTTTGGTTTGCAGATTAGGAACTGGAGTGTGAGATTAACAGATTTGATATTTGGTAAATCTAAGGAGTGCTGGGTCTTAGAGAGGTTTTACTTTTTTCAACTTATTGAGTGAGAAACTTGCATTATGTTTGCCTTATTATAGTCATCATATGTAGAAATTAATTTCTGTGATATCCTAACTGTGTTAGTCTTTTCTAACTTGTGATGCTGTTATAAAGACAGAAATTTTGAACCTTATATATTTGTTAATATATATATACATCTATATTCTATATCTATATATATCTTTGTGTATGAAAATAAATGTAATATCAAGAAATTTTATCCAGACTTTGCATGTGGTGTAGAACAGGTGTATTAGTTGAGTGAACTCAGATTTCCTGACTTTTGACGCCTTAATGCACATATGCACTCCCATGTGATACTGTTTGTAAATATTAAGAAAAGTAAATATCTTCTCTTATCAGATTGTCTTACATCTGTGCTACTATAAAGGGTATAAAAAAATTTATTGAACAGTTTTATCCTTCAAATGCAAAGAGTTGCGTTTTTTTTTTTTTTTTGTTATTATTACGAAGCAGACAGGATGATTAAGTGAGAGAAAGATACTGACACAGATTGAGGTAAGGTCCCATGTGGCTTCAATATCCAGTGTCGGTGGCGGTGCATGCTGCACTCACCAGAATTTGATATTGCACTTGTGCACCTAGGTGGTGTGTGGCCTCTTGTCATCATTTTTCCCACCCTTGTCTCTTGCTTTTATTCAGCCTCATTCCAACCTCACTGTCTTCACCTCTGCTGCACTGACACATCTTATGCTCATTATCTTCAGGAATTAGCTTGGTGCACTACTTGGTGAGGGAAACTGTTAGAAATTGTGGCCTATCTCTTTCCAGATGAACTTCTTATAGCTTTAAAGATATCTGGGAATATTTCCCTTCCCCCAGAGTCATTACAGTAGGCCATATAAGTCTATTTTCATTTTTGTGGACTTGAGTCTTACATTCTTTTCAGGCATATGTCTGTCTTTTTGCTTTTTTCCCTCGAGCCCAATGTTACCCATACCGTACTGTAGTACACGCGGGGAATCATGCATAGTTAGCCACCCAAGAAAAAATTTAGATTAATGGGAAACTTTGTTTTCCCATCTCTGAATTTGACTTTGGCATATATGACATTTAAATAAGAAGGTTGAAAAAAGACTTTAGCTTACCTTGGAAGGCTATTAATCATACTGCAATCAGAGCCAAACAAGCTAAGGGCTGTTAAGCACATACAAGATAGAGCAGGCTTAACTGTGTGTGGCCTGGATACTTGCCACCTGGTATACATTCTCATTACATTATGGTGAGAATTGACAGTTGCTATACATGTCATGGTGAATTCTCTGTTCTTGCCCAGCTTGGTGAAAACATCAATATCACTGTGATAAGTTGAAAGAGTACATGTGTTAATGGGTTAACTGATGTGTGCGTACTATAAGTTCAAAATATCAGAGATTAAGCTATTAGTGAAAACTAGCAAATCTCTGTATCTGTGTCTCTCACTGTCCATGTCTCCTCTCTTTGCCCTCCTTTCTCTAATCCACTCTTCTCTCTCCTCTCTCTTCTTTCTCTGTTCCTCTTCTCTCTTCTCCTTTCTTCATCTTCATCTTCCTCTCTTCTTTCATCTTTCATCTTCCCTCTCTTCTTTCTCCCCTCTCTTCTCACCTCCCGTGTCTTCTCCTTCCCTCACAATTTTTGAGATCTTTTCACGCATAATCCAAAAGAATGTCTTTATGATTAGATAATGGATGCAATACATACGTCTTTTGAGATTTTATTCATGTCTACGGGCTATTAGTGTAATCTTATTGAAAGATACATATCTATATATCTATCATTCCATCTCTAAAGAGAGAGAGAGAGGAAGTAGTGTACACATCCACACACG